TGGAAAGTGAATTTGCTATGTAAATTTTCACTCAAATCACAATAAAAAAAAGAATTCAGAGTGGTTTAGAGACAGAACTTTAATCTTCTTGCTTCGTGATGGGGAAAATATTAGTAAATATTGAAAATTGTAAATAGTAGTACTTGAACTTTGAAAAGATATCTAGAATGCTTCTAACTTAGCAACATTTTAGAATTTGTTTTGCAGTTACTGGTTTTAAAATAAATGAAATTGATAGAGCTTTGAGTAAAACCTTCTTATAGCTCCATAATGGATGTAGTTAATTTTAATTTAAATGCCATTGGCTACTGGAACAATTTTCCTGGGGCTTTCCCAGGGGACTACATTACGTGTGGCCCTCTGACCATGAGGGGGCTACAGCCACAGAGCTGGTTAAGGCTTAATTTCCCCTTAAGTTTCTCCAGAAAAAAAAGGCACGTCATGCTGCTGTAGGTCAAATGTGAAGGGTATGGTATATTTTGTGAGTCATTGTAGCAAACCTAAATTAATAAAGGTATTTTTTCTGAGAAACTAGTTACTAGCAATCATAATGGGAATTCCACAACACTTAATTGTACACATGAGGAACCTGTATATAGACTGGGAAGCTGTCACTCAAACAGAACAAGGGGACACTGCATAGTTTAAAATCAGGAAGGGAGTGCATCATACTTTTCATCATACTTATTCAATCTGTATATGAGCAAATAATCAGAGAAGCTGGGCTATATGAAGAAGAACATATAATCAGGATTGGAGGAAGACTCATTAACAACCTGCAATATGCAGATGACACTACTTTGCTGAAAGTGAGGAGGACTTGAAGCACTTACTGATAAAAATTGAAAACTGCGGTCTTTAACAACCTGCAATATGCAGATGACACTACTTTGCTGAAAGTGAGGAGGACTTGAAGCACTTACTGATAAAGATTGAAAACTACGGTCTGCAATAAAGAAATCAAAAATCCTTACAACTGGACCAATAAGCAGCTTCACAACAAGTGGAGAAGATTGAAGTTGTCAAAGACTTCATATTACTTGGTTCTACAATCAACACCAGTGGAAGCAGCAGTCAGGACATCAGACAACGTGTATTGCATTGGGCAAATCTGCTGCAAAGGACCTCTTTCAAGTGCTGAAGTACAAAGATGTCTCCTTGAAGACTAAGGTGCATCTAACCCAAGCCATGGTATTCTCAATTACCTCATATGTGTGTGTGTGAGAGCTGGACAGTGAATAAGGAAGACTGAAGAAGAGTCGATGCTTTTGAATTGTGGTGTTCGTGAAGAATGTTGAAGGTACCATGAACTGCCAAAAGAACTAACAAATCTGTCCTGGAAGAAGTGCAGCTAGAATGTTCCTTGGAAGTGAGAATGGCCAAACTTCATTTCATCTACTTTGGTCATGTTGTGAGAAGGGACCATTCTCTGGAGAAGGATATCATGCTTGATAGTGGCTGCAATGATGGGCTCAGGTATAGTGAGGATTGTGGGGCTAGCACAAGACCAGGCAGTGTTTCGTTCTGTTGTGCATAGGGTCACTATGAGTTGTAGATGATTTGACAGCACCCAACAACAACAGCAGCAATCATAAAGTTGGCTCAAAACCAAAAACCAAACTCACTGCCATTGAGTCAATTTGACCCATAGCAACCCCTCTTTGGGTTTCACAGGTGGTATCTCTATGGAAGCAGGTTGCCCAATCCTCCTTCTGAGGAGTGGCTGGTGGCACCAGCCTTCTGGTTAGCAGTCAGATGCCTTAGGCACTATGCCACCAGAGCCCCCTAAAGTTGTTAGTGGGTCTAAAATCTGAATTCTAGATTTTACTGTTAATGGCATGATTTTGAATATTACTTAATTATTCTCTTTCTTTCATTCAATTTTCTTTTGTTCTAAATTTCCCCAAATGTGTTCTGTAGAACATTGTTGCCACAAGGTACTCAATGAAGAATTCCAGGGGTCATCCTTCACAGTCAGATGAGTTAAGAAAATGTGTACCAGATGCCCCTCCTAAGAAATGCACAATATGAAGTAGAATGCTAAAGCCTCTAAGAACACTTATAAGAAGCATAAGTGGTGCAAGTGATTTGTGATTGGCTTCTAACCTAAATGTTGGCAGTTCAAACCCACTCAGTGGCTCCATAGAAAAAAGGCCTGGGAAATGCTTCCATAAAGATTACAGCCAAGAAAACCCTATAGAACAATTCTGTAACACATGGGATCACCTTGAGTCAGGGGGTTGGCTCAACAGCAGTTAATGACAATAACAACAAGAACAACTACAGGTAAAGAACCCACTTAAATCTTCTGGATCCATTTCTTGATATCCATAGGAACTTGTGTTCAATGAAGTCCACTTTGGAAACCTGTATTAGCTGCTGTCTAATTAACATCCATAATTCATTAATTATAAAAGTCGTTAAACATCTACA